CAATTCATGAGAAACAAATGCACCCACAACGAGCAACTGTCTGGTGCGGATTTTGGTCAGGCGGCGTGATTGGGCCTTACTTTTTTGAAGATGAGGCCGAAATTGCAGTGACTGTGAACGGCATTCGTTACGGGAACATGATAACGGAGTTCTTGTGGCCTCAACTGGACGGCATGGATCTGGGCAACATGTGGTTTCAGCAAGACGGCGCCACCTGCCACACCGCGCATGAAACAATCGACTTATTGCAACAACGATTTCCAGAACACATTATCTCACGAAATTCTGATGTCAACTGGCCACCAAGATCGTGTGATTTAACACCGTGCGATTTTTTCTTTGGGGTTTTGTGAAATCTAGGGTTTATGTGAATAAACCAGAAACAATTCCTGAGCTCAAATCAAAGATCCAACGCGTCATCGGTGAGATACAGCCACATCTCTGTGAAAAAGTCATGGAAAATTTCATGAAAAGAGTACGAGTAAGAGGCCTGTCATCAGAGCCGTGGGGGCCGTTTGCCGGATATTTTATTCCATACATAATCGGAATATGTCTTCTTCAAAATATAATAAAAATATCACAACTCTCTCATAAAATATGTGTTTTTATTTTAAAATGAAAAAGTGCACTCTTACTGAGACACCCTTTATGTTTTATTATGACTGACCAAAAATGTAGACGGACTCTAGGTTGTTTTGAGCAGTAGACAATTTCATATCCTTTATTTTTCTATAAATTTTGGTTTGCTCACCAATGTTTTTGTAGTGATGTGTTCGTCTATTGTTGATGTATGATTTGATAAATGATATTACTGAAGTATGAAAAAAATAGTGTGTAACAACCACAATTTTAACACGCCAATAGTTCCATCACGCCACCGCTAGATGACATTAGGGGTTTTGTTAACTCCTATAGTATAAGTAATCTCATATGTTTTGAATTGTGAATGAATAGATTCATGCGCAACGCGACTGACGCCCCGTGGTACCTGCGCAACGCTAACCTCCACATAGATTTACGGCTCCCCACAATAGCCCAATTCATGAAACAGCCATCGAGGAAATACTTCGACTTTGCTCCTCACCACCCCAACCCCCTCGTGGTGGCTGCATCCAACTACGACCCCCTCAGGGAATACCCCCACCGCGTACTTAGGACCCGTCGGCCAAGGGAAGTCCTCAACGACCCTGACGACCCTATCATTCTCGCCACTTTGAAGGCCAACCAGATCGCTAATCAGTCCATCTCATCACGCACCAACCGGTATCGCCGGCGAGGTCATAGAGCCTCTCATCTCAGCACGTACACTGGTAGATCCTCCCCTATAGCATGCCCTGCGGAAGTGTCCAGTAGCGCCCTGAGCCGAGGTCCGTGCCCACTTGGGCGCCCTCAGACTCGTAACTTAGTTTAAGTTTATTTACGGGTTACACCCTTTAGGGCGAGCTGAAGGCTCATCCGGTGGCGCATTCAAGGCCATCAGCGGCCAACAACTAAATATCCGAAAAAAAAAGAATTGTGAATGCTTACTACCACTACAGTATTGATACGGCACTGAACGGCATTGTTGAGACGTTTCGGTCCTATTACTACTGTTTAAGGTTTTGGCACTGAATTGTGTGCTTTCACGTCAGTGAGACATACTGTTGGGTCCATAACCCTGTAAACTTACCCGGTTTTGATAATATACGCCTTTTAAGTCTTCACGTCTACGTCTAATTCGTCGTTCTACGTACCCCCTTCGCTAACCAGCGCTACAAGTGTATAATATTTATTTATTTTTTTAGGGTCATCCCTGTAACGTGTCTGATTATGAAACAGAATCATTTAATCCAAAAAGAAGAAAGATGATTATAGTCACGTGACAGTAAAAAACGCGAATCGAGCAAAGTTCGGCCACATTCGTCGGAAAACATTCCCACTCTTTCGACACACAACCTGCAATCAGCAGATACACCCAGAAAAAAAGTGCTAAGAAAGTGTTTACAAATGAAAAATAAACAAATTAAAAGGATTTCAGTCGCAAAAACGGTATTTAAAAAAAAATTATGTATCCGATTCCGTATCCTGTTGTACATTGTAAGCACGTCAGACTGTACGATTTTGTTCGAGCATCGCCCGTAGTTCAACGGAACGAAATCCGCCAATGTTTAGTCTGATATGTTATCCGTACTTATAAAACGTTAATACGTTTAAACATTATTTTATTGTATTAAAATAGTAATACACATAAATAATTTAGTGAAGTTTGTAATAAATAGAAGTTTGATAAAATATTTTATCTTTTATTGTTCCCTAATGACTGGGATTCATATCGTGAAAGCCAAGAACAATAATTATAGTGTATCACGCATCTTAATATTATTATAGAATCCCGTCTAAAAATGCTTTGCTTTTTAAATTTTCAACCTAAAATCGGTCGATCATTCTCCAACCTTTCCTTTAGCAGAGATAATAAAATTAAAGGACTAAGTTAAAACAAAGAATAGTGTCTGTCGGAATGGTCAACTAGCGACACACAACTTTGAATGTTACTAGTATTAGTAACGTTCAACGTTGCGCATCGCCAGTTGACAATCATTCGAATGGGCAAATCATTTGCCTAAGTCGAATTCAAACACAATCATTCGACTCGAGTCGAATGATTCAATACCGAATGCCAATGCCATTAGGTCGGGTACATGAGTCGAATGATCATTATATCGGAACACCTCATTCATCATATCCATACTAAAACATCCCTGTCCCCGTCATATTTACAGTATTTACTATTATATCAGAGAGGGCTAGGTGATCACGAGCAGAAATGCTCTATGAAATCTATGGATTAGTACTACTAATTAGTAATGAATGATTATTCAAATCATTCGAATATGAAAATGAGTAGGTTACTAATTTGACATTCGAATGATAAGATTAGCGATTACTAACGAGTCGAATAACGAAATCAATCACAATCGCGCATCGCTATGGTCAACGCTATGAATTCGAACGATTATGGGTCAACATCCTAAATTTGTCAATAATAACAAAATGTCATCGATAGTTGAATATCGATACTTTCAAATGTTTCAAGAACAAGCTTGTTTACAGAACGATTGACATTTGGACCGTGTACTAACAGGACATTCCCGTGTGTGAGAAAAACTGTGCGATGTGCACCCTAGTGTTAAGTCGTTTCGTAGTGTGAATGTATAGTAACGTGATCGTAAAATGCATTAGTTTAGCATTTTGTTTGTGTGCGTTACGGGGGATGCGTAAATGTGGCAGACTTCTTTCTATAGTAAAGCGGGTGTCGTCTCCAGTTGGTTATGTGCTCAGCTTAAAGGTGGATTCACAATGAACGATTCTGGCAATATTTTGCCGCAATTTATCGCGTGTCACGTTATGACCTTGAGTTGACCAATTAGGAGCTAAGGTCGCAGCACCTGATTGGTCAACTCAAAGTCATGTCGCGGAACGCGATAAATTGCGGCAATATATTGCCAGAATTTGTGCAATGTGAATCCACCTTTATGCTGATTTGATTCATATTGAATTTTTTTAAATTGCGTTCGGATACACTACTGTTAGCATGAAGTTTATGTTATGAGTTTAAGGAAAACAGAACATGAGATAATATTGTCTATGGAATGGAAAAATGGCGGTCTTTTGAAGTTACATGTACAGTAAAGTTTACAAAGATTAATTTTATTTCAAGTACGGTATGAAGAAAATACGAAGAAAGCAATAGTGATGAAGAAAGTTAAATCTATATTCCTTATTTAGAAAATTCCAATAATTACGAATTCGAAGTTTTACACGCAAAATAGGCGCCTCGACGTCGAGTTGCGGAAACTAGCCCGTTGCACCAATACCAATAATTCAAAGTTTTTATTCAAAGTGACAATAATGTGATTTAAGTGAAAGTGAAAACACAAATATTGACTCCCGCCGCTTAAAAGACTATCTAAAAAGCCCTAACAAGAGAATTAAGTTATTTAAGAGAAAGTGAAAACATAATGTTGTAGAAACACAATGGAAAATATTTAGTGAGGATCCCGATAAATAAACGAAGACATGGCTCAAAGGACTTTTAAGCCAAAACTCTTAACTAGACATGGGAATAGCATTACATTTCTATCGCCGTGACAGTCGTTCCGGTTCCAAAAAAATCACGGCGATAAATCACCGTGATTTTGTCACAACTGCTACTTCCGTCACCTTGTCACGCCTATAACTTACATCACGATATACGGTTTTAGCCAGCGGCTTCTTTTTAATACTTATAGCCATTTTTTATAGAATGATTTAAGTTTTTACTCCCTTTGTAATAAGTTTCAATTCCACTCAAAAAGCTGATTTTGTATTTGATGTAATTTTGTTTGTTACTTATTTAATGCGAATCTTTGGATTGTTAAAAATAGCAATAAAGTATAATGTAATTATATTTCTAGTAGAATACACAAAGTAGATTATACATAAATATAAAATACCAACTCTTCCTATAATACAACAAATATACAAAAATATGTTACTTTGTTAATAAATAGGTTTATAGTCACTGCTGCAGATTTTTTTCATCCGCCCTTTCTAGTTGTAATAAGCACCTACGACCTTTGTGAGTGAGCAAAGAAAGTCATCCTATCTCACTCACTCCCATCGCCGAAATGGCCCGATTTGAAGAGAACTACAATGAGTGGCACGCTCAGTCACCACGGAACGGGGATCGCGCATTGTATCAAATACGTATGTCGTGATGTGGGTGACGGGGACAGCCATTGGAACAGAGGAACACCTATGTGACTTTGGAACGTCGTTCCTTCGGAACGAGTCACGGTGATACTGTTTGACGGCGGATCATCGTGATTTTTTCATCGTGACGTTATTTATCACCCACCTCTACTCTTAACAAAAAAAAAACTGTCTATGGAATTGATAAAAAGCTGTCAAAATCATTTTTACAAATTTGTACTATATCTTTCTAATTTGTGGCTTTGTGCAAATTTGTCAGTTTGTTTAGATCAGTATAACCCAGATATATGCGTTTCAATAAATATACCAATTAAGTAACTGTCCCGATAGTTACTGAAATCGAGTGTACATACTTTACGAATCACTAAGTAAAATCCTGTTTGCCTCCCCAACGCTTCTCAAGCGTTCGATGAAGGCTAGATATTTCTACCTTAACATCGATCTGTGAGTTTGTACTGATACTAGAAATAGCCAGATATTGCATGATAATATTTATGGTGCTGAAGTGCCAACGTAAACGTTGTTGTAAGGTGTGGCAACGAGGACAGTTGCCTTAGCGTGCGCCGGCTGCTGCACCAAGCCGCGAGCGGTGTGTTCGGCGAGAGCGGGGCGGCGCTGGGCGTGGACGTGCTCAGGGCTGGGGCGGGACGCGCGCTGCTGCGGGTGCCTGCCGCTGAGCTGCGTCGCTTCAGGGCTGCGCTCGCACTGTACCCGCGCCCCGTAAGGGTGCTCGGCGAATCGCCTTCATTGCAAACTTTGGTTTAGGTTTGTTTTGTGAGAACATAATTGTTTCAAGACATGGGATTCGTTTACCACCTACACAAATGTACACTCATTCATTGATACTTTTTCAGGTATTTCTTAACCACAAATAAAATGGCGACAAGATCTGTGCTAGCTTCTGGCCCCGGTGGCAAAGACATAGTAATGGTGGCAACGCGTGAGGAGCTGTCCACTCCTAGCAAAGTGACTCTACCTGAACCGGAACCGACTCCAGGACTTATCATGCCTGATGGCTCCATTAACTGGGGCTGTCCGTGCCTAGGAGGCATGGCGACGGGGCCTTGCGGCTTGCAGTTCAGGGATGCTTTCTCCTGTTTTCACTACAGGTCAATTTCCATTAGCATTGTGTACTTACCATTATGAGGAGTAATTATAAATCAAATACATGCACTGTAACTAAGTTCAATGCATTAAACCTATTCAAATTCCTTAGTCTTCTTAACAATTGTCCACTATTTAAATATTCCAGTGATGCAGAACCAAAAGGAAGCGACTGTTATGAGAAGTTCAGCGTAATGCAGGAGTGCATGTCACAATACCCAGAACTGTATGGAAGAGAAGAAGATGAAGAACTGTCCAATGCCATAAGTGAGAGCGCTGCAGAAGACAGTAGCAGAATTGGCAAAGCTGTCTCTGTCGCTGGTGCCCAAGAAGTACGTGGGGCAGGCGATGGTCCTGCAGAAGTTAAGAAGACTAAATAATGTACTCTTAATAAATTTTGAATGCTTTCTAGAGACGTGTCAAACTAAACATGTGTCTTTGTATTTGTGTGAATTGCAATGCGTACTATGTGGCACTAGGTAGAGATGAAATATTTGTAGTTGTACAATACAATATTAAATGTAAACAGAATAGAAGGTTTTTAGTTATTTGATAACTGTTGAAAATGCTTCTTTATTTATTTCAGTAATTAATTTTACATTAACAGTGGATGATACCCCCTGCTAAGCTTATCAAGCCAGGAGGCACCGCCCTTCCATATCTACAAATGCTCATTTTAACTTACAATTTTCGTGTTTAGTTTCAATTTTAATTTTTACATTTATACAAACAATCTCAAAACAAACAATTTACTTATTCTTTTAAATCCTAATTTTAAATAGTGCGTGTGTGTGTTTTTATAGCAAGTGATCTAGTAGATCTTCAGTTTCTGCATATGATTGGACTGTAGCCATTTGGAGATAAGTTTCTTGCACTCTCCAAGTCTTGGCATATCTTTTTCATTCCTTATTAATTAAATTATGCAGACGGGTTGATCACTTGTTGAATTGTCTGTTTGTAAATGTTGTATTTACTTTAGATACTTAAGAGGTACAGTCAAGAACACGTCAAGCTTGATACTTTGTACTTTGGATTTTTCGATCCTGTAAGTTTGGACCGTGCTTATTAAGTGGCATAGAGTTGGATTTAAATTAAGTATCAAGCTTGATGTGCTCTTGTACTTGTACATACAACCACAATATCATCGAGTTTCCTTACAGTGGCTAATTTAGTTCATACAAGCTGCTAGTGGAAAACATTCCTTTTTTTAATGAAATTTTATAAATCTAATCCTGCAATGACGGATCCTGAACGATAATGTTGTGCAGTACAACAGTAGTATCTTCCAAATATGTTCTTAAGGCCACCATTATACGGACTATTCGTCGTTCGATAAGTCGTCACGGTAATTGTATCGATCCGTCGTCGCTACTCCCATGGCGTTCAAATCAAGTAACGACATAAACACAAACTATTGATTCGTCGTTTAGATCAGTCTGTAACGACGGATCGTGGTGACAAATAGCCCTGTATATGTGGGCTATTAATATTTCTCTGCAATCTCCGGGTTTTAGCCTCCGTAGTTTTCGCTGTCGTCGGATTTAGACATGGGTAATTTCGACTCCGAAGAGTGATCCGAATCACTGAATCCGACTCCGCTGTCGGTACCGACTCCTCTTAATGAATCTGAATCCTCTTATCGGAACCGGCTTCCCATCGAATCTCACAACTCTCACAAGTGAAAATCGCTAGGATTCAATTCAATCAATGATCGAGTTTTTAATATACCGATAGACTTTTTTTCATTCAACTGCGTGAGTACTATTTAAATTAGATATGTTAAGATAGGTAGGTATTTTAGTCAATCTCTTGTTGGTGCGATTAAAGCTTTTAAATATATTTAGAGAAGACAATTTCAGTACTTGCAGTCATCGAAGCCCATATTGATTCTTTGGAGGTGGATGGTTGCGAACCCTGCACAGGAAGACCTGGAAGTTGGTTGACGTGGGCTGAGTGAATTCCCTTGGCAATATTTTATTTAACTAAGTAATTAATAGCTACCGACTTTTTTTTTATAAAAAATAAGTGCGCATTTGACCTCTATCTCACCTGATGGAAAGTGACGATGAGGTCGAGAATGTAGCATGCACACCTAAATAATGCCTAGTCGCTCTCGCCTTGAAAATGTCCAAGTTATAGCGTTCGGGGAACAAGTCTGCAGGCAGGGAATTCCACTCCCTAGCCGCTCGCCATACAAATGTGGAAGCGAAATGCTTCGTACGAATCCGGGGAGTATCCACAACATAGGCGTGAAACCGCCGCCCACGTCTAGTCTCCCGATGATGGAAAGGGGAAGTCGGAATCAAATTATGCAATTCCATCGCACACTCTCCGTGATATACCCTGTAGAATACCGATAGGCTGGCAACTCTACGGCGGTGTTCAAGGCTCTGCAGCTTCGTCTCTACTAGTTCCGAGTCATCTATAAGCCTCTTAGCACGCTTGTCTATTGAATCCAAGGTGGCCAGTTGGTATTTAGCAGAGCCATCCCATAAGTGGCAGCAGTACTCCATACACGACCGGACTTGTGCTTAGTACAGCTGAAGCAACTGTCCCAGAGTGAAGTATCGCCTCACCTTGAAAAGGATGCCAAGCTTCTTGACTGCATTTTTGACCATGGATTTAATGTAACTGCCGAAGTTTAGATTGGACGACAGGACCTGCCTGACTCCGTTTAGTGGAGAAAAGACACGCCAGCGTTTTGGTAGCATTAAATTTGACAAGATTGGCATCACCCCAATCGGAGACTGCCTTAAGTGTCAAATCCAAACGACTAACCATGGACTCTCGACAAGACTAGATTTCATCTCCACTGACCCTTGCATTGGTCAACTACCTGTCCACAACTGTGCTGTCATCAGCATACCTAAAGGTACCTACCTAGAACCAACATATCGTTTATATGCAGCAGAAAGAGGGTTGCGTACAGTACAGAACCCTGAGGAACTCTATCGCCCTATGTTCGGAAGAGTAGCCTTCTAAGACCACTCGAATCGAACGTTCACTAAAGAAATCCGAAATCCAATTGCAACGGTCAGTGGGAAGCCCATAAGAGGGAAGCTTGATTAAATAGCTTGCGTGCCAGACCCTGTCAAAGACCTTAGAAATGTCTAAAGACACTGCAATGGCTACGCCATGCTCTTCTATAGCCTCGCTCCATAAGTGAAAGGCATACATAAGAAGATCCCCAGTAGATCGCCCTCTTCGGAATCCATATTGGCGATCACTGAGGAGATCGTTGTCTTCAAGGTACGACAAGAGACGGTTGTTAAGTACACGTTCCATAGTCTTGCAGAGTATGGAAGTGACTGAGATAGGTCTATAGTTGACAGGGTCAGCTCTGCTGCCGTTTTTAGGCACTGGTTCCACATTTGCAAGCTTCCACGACCTGGGAACTACACCAGTCTCAAGTGAGAGGCGATACAGGCGTGTGAGAATAGGAGACAACTCAGGCGCACTGTTACGCAGGACTATTGCTGGAATTCCATCTAGCCCGCTAGCTTTATGCACGTCTAGACTTCGCAGAGTTCTGAGTACCTCTTTTTCGCGTATGCGAACTGGCGCCATAGTGCATACAGTCTGAAGTAAAGAAGGTGGTAGGTATCCTACGGCATCCAGACGTGAACTCTCTGCAAAGAGTGAGGTGAAGAGGTTCGCCTTCTCTTTCGCAGCATGGGCCAGCGAGCCGTCTGGCCTTAGCTTAGGTTGTAAGGAGTGGCTACTAAAGTTGTTTTCGACCGCTTTGGCCAGGGACCAAAAGGTCTTGCTGCCTGCTGGAAAAGAGGCAAACTTGGCCCCTATGCGGCACATGGTCAAGCTTGGCCCTGCGTAACACACTTTTGCCTTGTTGGCGGCTTTATTAAAAGTTTTCTTCAGATTCCGAGTATTCGGAGCTTTGTGTAGTGGAGCAACTGCCCAAGCTTGATACGCAGACGCTTACGACTACAGTCAGCGTTAAACCATGGACGAGCTTGGTGTCCATTGGGTACATCGAAGTATGGCATATAATAATGCTCCATGCCCAATCGCAAGTCCTCAACTACACCATCAGCACAGCTCGACGAATCTCTTGAAGTAAAGCAAGCCTGGCAGGGATATGAAGCAAAAAGGCGCATTTCGTCGGCATTTCGTCCCAATCTGCTAACCTGTATCGCCACGCCCGTCTCGTAGGTACACTTGGTTGGTGTTATGGTTGTTATTTATATTACATTCAATAAAGTTTGACAAACCCCAGGTCCTTGCAAAAGGAGTCCGTTATCTACTCAGGATACTGCGAGAGGCCATTGAAATTAAAAAACATCCTAATTTCAACAGGGAAGATGGTTTCTCCGTACTTCCAGTTTGGGATCCAGTATTTCCTCTGATGAAAAATCCCAAACAAACATAAGACTGCCGTACTAATTAATATGTTTTAGTTTATTCTAATTTCTATTATTAATTAATAATAAATTGAACTTAATAAAAATTCACTCAATAAAATAATTTATAAAACTCAATGTAGCGTAAATTGGAATGTTTCTTTGTAAAATTAAAAATAAGGTATTTAATTAATAATTATTGTAACTATAGTGAAAAAATAGGGTGGTTTGCATTAATATTAGACATATTAATGCAAACCACCCTATACATATAGACTGGTTGAAGGGCCCGAAACGTCGGTTTGTTTGAAAAACAAATATACGCGATTTAAATCCGGAAAAATAGTTTCATTTCCTAACTTATAATACTAATTCCAGTTTTATAGAATATGTTAAAAATTATTCAAAATTATTTTAAAAAGTTAGCTGTTAGGGTTAAGTTTCACAGCGATAAAATTATAAAATAAATCTAAAACTACTTGGTGTATAAATAAAGAGTCAGGCAAGGTTAAACAACATGATAGATATATAGTTCTATTCTTATTAAATCAAAAGATGAGGTAGCCCAAGCTTTTCAATCATCGGGTATTGCCGTGAACGCTACAAAATCATTAAACTCCTCTCCATCTACTGCTTTGATCTTTGATTTGATTGATCTCCTAAACAAAAATGTTAAGATTTGCGGCAGTGTATTTATTTTTAATCATGTTAATTCAAAAGACATCATTAATTCACAAATGTATACCTGTTAAAAAAACTGAAGATGTCTGGAACATATTGACTAAAGTTATAGACTCGGTAATTTATCTAATTTCCTCACATTTAGCTGATGCATTCAATAGGTGTGTTGACGAAGATATTTTTCCCGATTTGATGAAATACAGTAAGGTTATTCCTTTATTCAAAAGCGGTAGGAAAGTTAATCCTAGTAACTATAGGCCCATTTCAATTCTACCCGCTTTAAGTAAAATATTCGAAAAGGTTATGTTGACTCAACTACTGTCGTATTTCGGTAGGAATCATATTTTTCATAGTGAACAATTTAGGTTTACTAGTGGTAGTGGTAGATCGACTAGCTATGCGGGGGTAGCACTACTAAAGCATATCTTTGATGCTTGGGAAAAGTCCCAGAACGCTATTGGGGTTTTCTGTGACCTCTTAAAGGCATTTGATTGCGTGAATCATATTACTCTTATTAAGAAGCTGGAATATTACGGAATAAGTGGCAAGGCGTTGGAACTTGTCTTGTCATATCTTAACGGCAGAATTCAGAAAGTAGATATAAATGGAGTCTGTGGAGTAAATCTTTGGGTTCTCCGGTAAAAATGGGTATTCCGCAGGGCTCAATACTGGGACCTTTCTTATTTCTCATTTATATTAATGACCTACCATTCTTTGTTAAGGACCTTTGCGAAATAGTATTGTTTGCTAACGCCACATCCTTGATTTTTAAAACAGACAGACATGACGTTAACTATGACAATATTAATGATACTCTTTCAAAGGTAGTTTATTGGGTTAATACATCGAGTATGTAACCAGAAATGGAGACGAAATGTCATATATTTGTTTGAAAACTATTCTGCCATATCATTACTGTGACAACTGCGCTCTGATTGGCCAGATCGAGTTCGAAACAATTGACGGGTGTCGTCAATGGGTGTTGTCAACTGTTTCACTTCAAATCGACCAGTTAACTTGAGCTTTGCTATAATGCACGAAAATTGGAAAATTACATATGTAATATTTAATTACCGATCAAAATATCTTTTTGGGAGTGACCTTCGTCAGTAAACTACAATGGTTTCCACATATATCTTCCTTGGCCAGCAGTGTAAGCTCTGCTGCATACACAGTCCGTAGAATACGTAAATTTACCGATGTTGCTACTGCTAGACTAGTTTACTTTAGTTACTTCCATAGTATAATATCCTACGGGATTCGCATGTGAGGTAAACCGGCAAATATACAAACCATATTTGTGTTACAAAAACGAGCGATTCGTTCTGTGTACAGTTTAGGTTCTCGGATTTCTCTTAGAGAACATTTTAAGGAGACTGGTATCATCAATTTCGCATCGCAGTACATTTACTCAAATATTTTGTATGCCCGTAAAAATATACATAACTTCGTTAAGAAAGAAGATATCCATTGTATTATTAACCTTAGAACTAAGTCCAAACTCATGATATCACATTTTCGTTTAACTAAGGTAAACGATTCTTTTATGGGGAACTGTATACGTTTTTACAATAAGATTCCGGAGCATAATATATTAAGATTACCATTTCCTAAGTTTAAAACTTACTTACATTAAAAGTATTTTAGTTGAAAAGTCATATTACAAAATTGTAGACTACATGATAGATCAAGATGTATGGAAAGACAACGTGAGTCTAGATTCCACACAAATGTGATTCAAAATGTATTCTATAGCATTCATAAGTTCATTTGAAAAGAGCAATCCCTAGAGTTTCTTGTTTGTTCTTCTCAGGGAGGTCAGCATAGCGAACGTGCAGTAGCTTAAAAAAAAGCGTTTTGAAGTGTAAAAATTTTACAGGAATAAATGATTATTTGACCTTGACTTTTAAACTTAGTTTGTTCCGCCTGCTGCGTTTTGATTTATGAAAATTTCGTCTTTTTCTGATTTTGAGTGACATTTAAAAAAAAACCTTTCCATCCAACTGCAATGTCCATACAGTTCACAGATCATGACTAAAGCTATTCTGATATGCGCGTTGTCAAGTTGCCGTCGCGGCGCGGTTCCCAAGGCCGGTCCGTGAGCATGACATCCTGGCAGGGTCGCCATATGGGTGGTGACAATTAAACGCAAGGCTTGCCGTATTAGAACTAACTTTATTAAAATAAAATGATACAATTTATATGTATAAGTACATACAATGGGTAGCAATACCTTACACTAATTTTTATTTTTGTCCAATAACAAAGCACAACAACAATTCTCTTTTTTTTATATCGCGTGCGAGATCGCGCGTATATTTGGCATAGGTATTGCTTTGCTGAAATTCAACGGAACTGACGCTAGGCCATACGCAGGATAGTGTGTTAGCATTACCAGTCTCCTGCCTGCGCGGCGGACTGCCATGCTATTAGTGAATGGGCTACTTTAAGGCTGCCTTTCCACCAGAGATGTGCGAGGTAACGAGGCGGTGGGCGAGGATGAGTAGCGGCGCTAAGAACGGTGTGATGTTTTCCACCAAAGCTATGCGAGGTTGCTACGCGGCGGATGTGCAGCGGCGCGGTGCGAGAATTCGTTACGGATTCTTTTTAGCTATGCGCAGTCGGGGTGATTACCAAAACTATTTGAGAATGAATAAATAGATTATTCCATTTTTGTTAAATAATGTGCGACCAAGATAGCAAAGCAAAGTACCATGATGCGAGACAGGCACCTTGCCGATCACACAGCTGGCCGATCGGAAACTTTTGACATTTCAAATCAGAACAATATAGTTGATTTAACTCACAAATTAGAAAGATATACTAGGAATCAGGTTCATCTTCTCACTCGGAAACTCACCTGATTCCGAGACTCGGATGGGCTACCCGATCGGATCGATTTCGATTTGAATTAAAATCAGCCTGCTGATTCAAAAGATCCTAGAGCCAAGCTCACCTGACACTATACTGAGGATATCCCGTACATCAGCCTGTACGAGATTAGGATGGCTTTGAAACAGCTAAAAAACAACAATGCACCGGGTGAAGACGGAATTACATTCCAGCTTCTGAAAGCGGGTGGAACACCGGTACTAAGAGTCCTTTAAAGGCTCTTTAATTCAGTCTTGGTCGAAGGTTCTACGCTAGAAGCGTGTTGATACACTTCTTCAAAAAGGGAGATAACACCCTATTGAAGAACTACAGGCCCATTTCACATTTAAGCCACGAAGTCACGAGTCCTTAGCATAGGTCGGATAATGGTAGGTTATACTCCTCTGTCTTCTGTATAACCTGCCGCAGCGTGTCGATGTGGTCTATAGTACTGAAGCCCTTTCGGAAACTGGCTTGTTTGGGGGGCTGGAAGTCATCGAATCTGTGCGCGAGACGGTTCGTAATGACCGATTGTGAAGTCCAATGGTTGGAAAAAGGTGTTCCACATCCATAGATACATCTATAAATATAGCCACAAGGAGTGATGTAGAGTTGTTATAACCACCAAATTTTAATTCATTACTTTTTTCGATTTCCGGAAATGGTTTTACTGCATCGTAGGGCAAAATAGGCTGATATAGTGATGATGTCGATTGCACGCTGCGATTTGAAAATGCGAATGTGTGCGTCCGTACATGATGCGCGGGCTGCGCGGCGTGCACACATGCACACATATTATAAGCCGCGCAGCAACGTTTTTTATGGAGTTACCATACTTGTTCTTTTTTTTATTAATAATTTTGGCTTGGATACAAGTCCTTTGAGCTATGTCTTCGTTTAATTATGTTTCTGTAAATATGGCCGCCACAAACAGGATAGGCAATTTGAGGCGGCGTGCTTGGATTGACTCGGGATTCCTTAGAACGGGCCGATACGGGTATTTTAGTTCGAGATTTGTATACTTTAGCGTTTTAATCTTCGATTACTGCACAATAGCACTATCCTATTCCACTTTAAACTAGATTTCACAAAATAATTGAAAGTCAAAATAAAAACGACACTTCCCTCCAAAAGACCCAGAGCGAATCTCACCATACTTGTTCATAATCTATTACGTAAATAGTGACGACATTTGCTGTAATCTATACCTATAATATTTACTGACTGACTTTAACAAATTAATAAGATGGAAGCTTGTGTTTCAAATTTCAATACGATCTAGACGATTTGATCGCCAACATTTAATCGATTCGCTTAAAAATCGCAAACGAACGAACGAAACGAACGCAAAACGAATCGATACAAAAAATCGCTAGATATCGTGTTCACTTGAATAGATCGTTATAAAAATCGTATCGCAATGTGCATGTCGTGAATGCAATGTAAAGTCGATTCGTGATTGTTCACATTCACACACCGTCAAATAAATCGATTGTGAATTTGACGTAATGTCATGGAACTAAATCATTATAGCTATTATCTAGCACTTCTCTACTGAGCCAGTGAGCCAGTGAGCGGGCGGCGATGGAAGTATTTGTTTTGTTTGATAGATGGAAGTGAAAATAAAGATTTTTATAGTGAAATTTGTGTTATAAACCAAATTATATTCATCATGGCTTATCACTACGTAGTGACCGCACAAAAACCCACCGCGGTTACAGCATGCGTGACCGGTAAGAGCCTCAATTCGCGAGTGTTTGATACCGAATGAGGTTAACTCTAATACTATAGAACATCTGGTTATTTTCAGCGTTCAGGGATCTGCGCAGTTAATCGTGTAGTAATTGTATGAATTGGCGAAGGCCTCTATGTGGCTGGTGCTCTGGTTTTCTGTGTTTAAAATGACCCTTCAGAGACCGGCGCACCACTGCCTCCCGTGGTATTTTCAAGCGATTATTTATACAAAGCTTGGATTTGCTGTTGTTCTGTTTTGTGAATTCGTTTATTGTTATAGCACGAGTAAAATCGTGCTTATAAATTATTACACATTCATGTTTTCCATACATTGCAGCACTATGCGTGTATTATTTTTAGGCAACCTGACATCGCCGACGGACCTAAACCTACTGGTGGCGAAAGTTTCGCGACTCGAGATGTATCTGGTGACGCCGGAGGGTCTGCGACCCATGAAGGAGGTGGGCCTCTACGGTCGGGTAGCAAAAATGAAACTGTTCAGGCCACCAGTGAGTACTTTCCGGTTGCCATTTTACCTTGGTCATGTTTTATTGCATAACTTTGCCATGGATGACACTGACTGAAATCTTTGACATTGCAGTATGAAAAGAAGGATCTAGTCTTCATTCTAACAGCCCGCTACAATGCCATGATCTTGGAATGGAGAACCGGTGCCAATAGCGAGCTAGAAGTGGTGACTAGGGCACATGGCAATGTGTCAGACCGCATTGGCAAACCTTCAGAGAATGGGATTCTTGCAGTTATTGACCCCCAGGCACGAGTTATTGGTCTCAGGCTCTATGATGGCCTATTGAAAATCATACCATTAGATAAAGATTCCACAGAGCTAAAAGCTGCTAGTTTAAGGTATAACTACTAAATTTAGTGCACGGCTTATCTTGTGTTGGTATATTTTGCAGATAGAATAATAATTCTATCTGCAAAATATATAGTATTCTGTATGTTCATTTCAGGTTAGAAGAATTAAATGTTTACGATGTAGAGTTTTTGCATGGCTGTTCAAACCCAACACTCATATTAATTCACCAGGACCTAAATGGAAGACACATTAAGGTAAATATATTTTGCTAACAAATAATCAATTTATAAAATATGTGCATATTGACTGATGTCATTAATTTCTTTTACAGACACATGAAATTAATTTGCGTGATAAAGAATTTATGAAAATTCCTTGGAAACAAGACAACGTAGAGACTGAGGCTTCCATACTTATTCCAGTGCCCAGCCCCTTAGGTAAAGTGTCATGTGGACATTACTTGAAAACAAAATGTTGCAATCTATTTTATTCCATAATGCTATTTGTAGGAGGCGCAATAGTAATCGGTCAGGAATCAATAGTATATCACGATGGACAAAATTATGTAGCAGTTGCTCCACCACAAATTAAGGTAACAGTACAAAAGGTAGACTTTGTTATTTATTTGTGAACTTTGTTGCCTTCATTGTATGAAATATTTTTTTTAGGAAGATTTGGTAAGTAAATAATCTGACAATGAGTTTATTGATGCGCAGATTTGGGACGTCCACTGAACTGTTGTGGTTTCAGCTGACGCCGATAAATTGCTACTGCCGCGTGGACGTGCGCGGGCTGCGCTACTTGCTGGGCGACATCGCGGGCCGCCTCTTCATGCTGCTGCTGGAGCTGGCGCACAAGCCCGACGGCTCGCAGGCCGTCAAGGACCTCAAAGTGGAGCTGCTAGGTCGGCACCGCGGCGGCGGGGGCCCTCCGGCGAGGCCCTCGTGACGTGACTCGTGTCGTGCAGGGGACATCCCGATCCCGGAGTGCATGACGTACCTGGACAACGGCGTGGTGTTCGTGGGCTCGCGCCTGGGCGACTCGGCGCTGGTGCGGCTGGCCGCGGCGCGCGACGACCTGGGCGCCTACGTGGCGCCCATGGAGACCTTCACCAGCCTGGCGCCCATCGTGGACATGTGCGTCGTGGACCTCGAGCGCCAGGGCCAGAACCAGCTCATCACGTGCTCGGGCGCCTTCAAGATGGGCTCGCTGCGCATCATCCGCAACGGCATCGGCATCCAGGAGCAGGCGTCCATCGACCTGCCCGGCATCAAGGGCATGTGGGCGCTGACGCTGCGGCCCGGCGCCGCGCACCACGACACGCTGGTGCTGGCGTTCGTGGGGCAGACGCGGGTGCTGACGCTGAACGGCGAGGAGGTGGAGGAGACGGAGATCGGGGGCTTCGCGGCGGACCGGCAGACGTTCTTCACGGGCAACGTGCGCCACGGGCAGCTGATCCAGGTGACGGACGGCGGCATCCGCCTGCTGCGGCGCGGCGCGGCGGGCTGGGGCTGCGCCGCCGAGTGGCGCGTGGCGGGCGCGCGCGGGCTGTCCGTGGTGGCGTGCGGCGGCGAGCGCGTGGTGGCGGCGGCGGGGCCGCGGCTGTTCCTGGTGCGCGTGCGCGACGCGGCGCTGGACCTCGTCACGTACGTACGCGGCGTACGAGCCGGTCTTACTTGGGACGATGTGTAAACTTGTATTTATACCGAAGATAGGCAGAAAGAACTACTCTCTTGCTAAGTCCTTTAGACCCATCCGCCTGACCTCATTTTCGCTCACAGCCTCACAGACGGCTCTGCTCCGCTTTGTGGACAAGGTTGAAAGAGCGTTTGAGGACAAACAAATCACTCTGTGCTTTCTAAACATTGAGGGTGCTTTTGACAATACGCCCATCAATACTCTGGCGAAGACCACCTGCAAAAGTGTAGACACTTCTACTCCTGCTACATACAGCAATATGCTTTCTGCACACGCGCAAATGTATGCGTGAAGCGGTAGGGTTACCCGTCACTTTCTCGTACCATTACATGGTCAGAGCGGCAACGTACCGAAAATTCTAACGCGAATCTGTTACCTATAATTCTATTAATAGAATCCTAATAATTACACATGTTCATTAGGTATTTATATCAATATAATATTATATTTTTCTTTAATTTATAAACTAGAATAAAACTGAAGATGTTATATTTTGAACAGGTACTTTTAAATAAGGTAACCAAGGTTTTTGAAATTACTTGTCCAACTTTATCATTACAAAATTCGAGAACCCTTATCTACTAGCTCACGAACTTATGGCAACTCCTTATATTGATATAATAAATGTATGTATTACTCTGCACTAAATAAATCAAGAAAACAATGAATAACTCTCAGACATTATCCCGTTTAAATGATCATAAACAGCCGTACACGGCACAATTCACGACCATTATAAATAGTAACGTACAATGATGTTATATATTAACGTACAAGTTTCGTAATGGATAAATGAAAACTATATTCAAATATCAAAGCCTTGTTGCCGTTCAGGAGGAGGGCGGAGAGTGTCCATTCTCGTTACTTTGTTGTTGTCTGGTTGAGGTCTAAAACCAAAGATGACTCTTTGGTTCTACACATCTAGTATATAACCAGAAATAGAGACGAAATAAGGGCATATATTCCTGGTAACACATTAGCGATACAGCTCTTATAAATATCAACTCCCGTTTGCACTGAAATATAGACATGCCAACTATTGACCTGTGTGTAGATCTCTGTATATTCCAAAAAATATTCTGTATTTATTGTAATCAAGATAATATCTCTAACAATGCCGTGCTATTCTATTCGGTGGTGTGGGAAAAACAGCAATACATCTAATTACAAAACCAACGGCATCACATTTCATTGGTAATTAAATATTAAATATGTAATTTTGCAATTGTCGTCCATTATAGCAAAGCTCAAGTTAACTGGTCGATTTGAAGTGAAACAGTTGACGACTCCCGACAATTATTTCGAACTCGGGCTAGACCAATCCTTAGAGGCTGGAAAAAAAAATAAAAGAAAGGAGCTGCCCTAACCACAAAATCAACGTGCATAAAACCAAAATTTGAAAGTTACAAATGGCGGATTTCTTTAGTGTTGTACCATAACCTATCGATAAGTCATTATCGACACGCAAATGTATGGCTTGAATGTTGAAACTGTTTTTTTTTTTGTTTCTTTAGTTTACTGTAACCAAAGTATGCCTAAACAAACACAAGTCTAATAATTGAATCTCGAGTGGTATATTATTATAAATGTCAACACACATTTTTAAACTTTTTTAAAATTTATTTTCAAGATTATAACTTATTTAGTAAAAGACACCAAACTGCTGTGCAGTTTGTTGGCGACATGCGCATTCTTACTTAATTATACCTACTTTACTGGTATATAACATTACATAGTATTAAGAGGTACGCCTTTCACCTACATTTTAGTACATGTTTACGTAACTTCTTTTAACTAACTGTCAAATACAAGTCTATTCAGGTTTCTGCGGATTCTAGTATTCCCTTGCTTTCTTAAGCAAATTAATCTATCAAGCAATTTTAACACAGAAATAATGTAAGTAATTGTAAAAATCAATTATCGAAAACAACAATTATCATGTACTAGCTTTTCTAGCTGTACCACGACTTCGTCCGCCTACAATTTTTATACAAATGAAAAATATTCAAATATGAAGCTAATCGCACCACGCGTTAAAAAGTTACCATACAAACGAAACGGGTGGATAATTTTGTTTTCAGGAACTGAGAATAACTAGTAAATGAGTCTTGTTTAATCTAAATTGAACATAAAATTATTTACCAATAAACCTAATGATGGAATAGCATTGTCATGTAATCTAGTTACATTCAGTTGTGTTAAAATTTAACTCTTCAAATTGAAGCGAACAAATGAAGATGGTCTTTGATCCAACGTTTATATTCGGCAGTCCTATGATTTCCAACCATTATTTCTTCCTTTTTTCATTTGTAGGAAAACTTGAAATAATAATAATAAAACAATAAAAACCTCGTAGTGAATTGTTTTAATAACAGAATATCGATAATATGCTTACAAGATCAACACTATCTCAAAATAATCGTAAACAACAATCATATACTACAAAAATATACAAACAAACAGGCAATCTTAAAGTAAGTTTAATTAGATGAAATATTTGGGCTATTGTGTGATTTATAGACAAAAAAATAACACGTGCCTGTGCAATATAACATTCGATTGATTTGTACTTTTTCTAAAGCCACATCATTAATGCTGCAGCGTCGCATTTTTATGAATACCTAATTATTCTCACTGGCAATATTTTTGTACAATTTAATTATAATACATGCGAATAATTCGATATTACATTTGGAAATTTGACGTATTCCCTTGACAACGGTATCATGTACCTCACGTACTGCGAAATGGACACGGTTGGCATTTAAGATAACGTTACGTATTTTCGATTCCCGTGTTTGACACAGACCAATGTAACGCTATCTGTTTTGGCTTAAGACGGCACGTAATAGTTAAACAAAGACAATAACATGTCTATGTATTCGACGACGAAATGCATCATATACATATAATGTCTGATTTATATATGTCTACGTAACATGTCCTTTAGTTTCCATAATCTAAGAGCCAATCGGAGCGCAGTTGTCACAGTAATGATATGGCAGAATACGTTTCAAACAAACTAAATGACATTTCGTCTCTATTTTTGGTTATATAGGTTGGCTGGGATAGTGATGTCCAAAAAAAATTTAGGTTCCTTACATTGAGGGGTACTCGAATCACCCCCACGTATGTAGACAGAACCGCCTAAAAGTTTCAGCCTTGCCGTGGAAGACAACAAAAAGTTACGAGGAAAACGAATTTCATTTTCGTACAATTGAAACGTACGAACTAGTATTTTTATTACATTAAGACGAAAGAAAAACTCGTTCGATACTTAAAACCGTGGAAAATAGCATTTCGTTTTTGGAAAAATCCTTCGAAAGGCAAGCTCGCTTTCGCTTCCGCCGTGCGGCGCCCGGAAGCGCGCCGCCCATCACCCGCCCGCCCGCAGCGAGGTGTGCATGGACGAGGAGGTGGCCTGCCTGGACCTGGGCCCCGGCGACGACGCCGCGCTGCTGGGCGTGGGGCTGTGGACCGACATCTCGGTGCGCGTGCTGCGCCTGCCCGACCTGACGCCGCTGCACACGGAGAAGCTGTCGGGCGAGATCATCCCGCGCTCGCTGCTCATCTGCGTGCTGGAGGGCGTGTGGTACCTGCTGTGCGCGCTGGGCGACGGCTCCATGTTCTACTTCACGCTGGACCCGCAGTCGGGCGCGCTCAGCAACCGCAAGAAGGTGACGCTGGGCACGCAGCCCACGGTGCTGCGCAGCTTCAGGTGCGCCCCGCGCCCCGCCCCCCGCCCTCGCCGCCCCTCCGGCCCTCTCACCGGCCGCCGCTTCTGCGCAGGTCGCTGTCCACGACGAACATCTTCGCGTGCTCCGACCGGCCCACGGTGATCTTCTCCTCCAACCACAAGCTGGTCTTCTCCAACGTCAACCTCAAGGAGGTGACGCATATGTGCAGCCTCAACGCGCTCGCCTACCCCGACAGGTTAGTCGCTTCGCTTTGACGGTAGATTAAATTGGTACAATTACTAAACGCACCGTAAATATGGGCGACTTTAATCGTTCATCTTCATTTGTAATTTTCTATTCATTATTTTTCTAATTGTAAAATCTCGTGCCATTCTCTTAAAATGTAACTGAATGAGTTGCGCGGTGACTGACGGTGAAGTTTCGTGATGTATTTCGCGTTTTCGCGCGAGTAGCTCCGAGGTCCGTTTTGTAAAAAGATTTCTTCTTGAGCGCGCGAAGGCGTCAGGTTTAATTGTCTTTTGTTGGCGGTCCAAATCGGGCGGCCGGGTGTTACGTGTTACTACGTTTACGAATCCCATATTGCACATTTTGTTCTCTTTGGGTACTTTTAGATTTCACAATTCAAGTACATACATTCGCGGTGTTCTAACGTTCGCCTCGGCGTAAATCACGAAAAATTTGCATTCACATAGATACGCGATCGCCGAGTGCGCGTGCGTGGGGCGCACCCCCGCCGCCCGCGTGCACCCCTTTCGTCGTCATTTGCCTTACAAATATTATTCGGGAGAAATATTTTGTTGCACAAATTGGACCTGCCATTTTTTTTACAAAAGCCTAGAAACGCCTAGAAAACACATGGACGGAGCGAGACGTTACCGGTACGTCAAAAAGGTCCGCTCTCCCCTAAAAATGTCGTTAATTTATCTGCTTACGCGGTATGGATTTTATCGGACGACTCGGTTACGGAACGAAGATATTTGCGGCGAAGGGCGTCGTGAAACGCGTGGAAGGGCGTAAAGTTAAACCCGGGGGACCCACGCGCACGAGTCGCCCGTCGCGTTTTAGGCAAACCCTCGACGCGTTTCCGCGTGAACCGACCGTAACGGCGAATGAGTAGAGACGCTCGTCTGCGCAGCCTGGCGCTGGCCACGGACAGCACAGTGACCATCGGCACCATCGACGAGATCCAGAAGCTGCACATCCGCACGGTGCCCCTGGGCGAGACGCCGCGCCGCATCGCCTACCAGGAGGCGACGCAGGTGGGTGGGGCGGGGCGGGGGCGGGGCGGGGCGGATTGGGCCCTCCCGGCTGACGCGCGCCTTTGCAGACGTTCGGCGTGATCAGCATGCGCGTGGACAAGCTGGAGCTGGGCGCGGGCGGCGCCGCCAGCGTGGCCGTGCGCGCGTCGGCCTCCACGGGCGCGGGCGCGTCCAGCGCGTCGCTGGCCGCCGGCGCCGCCGCCGGGCCCGCGCCCGCCAAGCACGCGCCCAACGCGCTGGACGTGGAGGTGCACAACCTGCTGGTCATCGACCACCACACCTTCGAAGGTAGGCCCGGCGCCGGCCTCGGCCCCCGCCCCGCCCCGCCTCCACCGCCGCCCTCTGCGCAGTGCTGCACGCGCACCAGCTGATGGCCGGCGAGTTCGCGATGTCGCTGGTGTCGTGCCGCCTGGGCGACGACCCCGCGCCCTACTACGCCGTGGGCACCGCCATCCTCAACCCCGAGGAGTCCGAGCCCAAGCAGGTGAGCCGCGCCGCCGCGCCCGCCGCGACCGCCGCCCGTCGCCCGCTCACGCTCTCCCGTCGGCAGGGCCGGATCCTGCTGTTCCAGTGGAGCGAGGGCAAGCTGTCGCAGGTGGCCGAGAAGGAGATCAAGGGCGGCTGCTACACGCTCGTGCAGTTCAACGGGAAGCTGCTCGCCTCCATCAACAGCACGGTACGCGGGCGGCGCGCTTGTAGGGCGGCGGCCGTTTCGACCTTTTCCCCGACACGGTCTGACGCCGCAGGTGCGTCTGTTCGAGTGGACGTCGGAGAAGGAGCTGCGGCTGGAGTGCAGCCACTTCAACAACATCGTCGCGCTCTACCTCAAGGTCAAGGGCGACTTCATCCTCGTCGGAGACCTCATGCGCTCCATGTCGCTGCTGCAGTACAAGCAGGTGCATAGCCGGGGCGCGGCCTTCCCGGGCGAGAATCCGCCCCCTCAAACCGGCCTCCCCTCAGATGGAGGGCAGCTTCGAGGAGATAGCGCGAGACTACAGTCCCAACTGGATGACGGCGGTGGAGATCCTGGACGACGACACGTTCCTCGGCGCCGAGAACAGCTTCAACCTGTTCGTGTGCCAGAAAGACAGGTAGGTGCGGGATTGCGGGGGTGGCGGCCGAGCCGACGAGGGTAACGACATGCCGTTGCAGCGCGGCCACGACGGACGAGGAGCGGCAGCAGATGGGCTACATGGGGCAGTTCCACGTGGGGGACATGGTGAACGTCATGCGTGCGGGCTCGCTTGTGGCGGCCGTGGCCGACTCGGCCGCGCCGGTGGCGGCGCCGGTGCTGCTGGCCACGGTCTCGGGCGCCATCCTGCTGGTGGCGCAGTTGCAGCCCGCCACCTTCGACTTCCTGCGCCAGCTGGAGGAGCGGCTGGCCGGCGCCATCAAGGCCGTGGGCCGCATCCCGCACGCCGCCTGGCGCTCCTTCAACACCGACATCAAGACGGAGCCGGCCGAGGGCTTCGTGGACGGCGACCTCATCGAGGCCTTCCTCGACCTGGACCGCGACGTGCAGAAGGACACCATCCAGGGCATGCAGGTACCGCCGCCCCCGCCGCGGCCCGCCGCCTCCCGCCCCGCCCGGCCCCTCACGTGGTTCTTGCTTGTCTCAGATCGACGACGGCGACGGCATGATGCGCGACGCGACGGTCGACGACATCATCAAGATCGTCGAGGATCTCACCAGAATACACTAGCCCCCAATCCGAAACTAGCTATTTCGTAGAGCGCACCCTCGTCCTACCTTGTGATGTTGATTCTCTACTTCATAGGTGTAATAAATACTTTACGTACTAAGCGACGATGTTTCATTCTCCCCGCTTGAATTACAGTAAAAGGTCTTCGTAACGCGAGAGACGCATACCCGTATGCACCCGTACGATTAAAAACAAAGGGTCAACCGTAAAAAAAAATTAAACCAGCATAAAGTTGCTTAAGATTTTAATTGTAGAATCGCTCAATCTATAACTTAACCACGCCCTAAACTACGCATCTATATTAATATATACTTATAATCTGTAAATACAATTAAAATAAACACCTTTTCACAATAGTGTTAAATATCCAAATAAATTACCAAAATAATACACCTGTATCGATTCACAGTACAGTCGAGGGTAAAAACATGTGAAAATCATAAAATTTTAAAATAATATGCTCCGACATTAATACTATACAAATAATTTCGTAGATTTGTGTAGGTGTACACTTGTTCGGTGAACATATTTTATGCAATACTTCTATTTCTCATCGTCGTGTCGCCATAGATTCAGGAACATCCATAATTTCGAAAAGATGTACACATTGTCCGGTATATAAATCTACATTGGTATACATAACCGTTCAATTCCAAAGAGAATGATCAATATATTGGTGTGACAGCACAGAAATGATTACAGGTTATTATGCTCCGGTCCGTATGCTTGAGTCTTTGTTTTAAATTCAAATAGGGTTTGAAATATCTGGTCACATTGTGCTTTTTTTTAAATATCAATAAACAACAAGCATGCCACCAGTTTATTTCGCCATTATTAGACCATTAAATAGTAGTTTAGTAAGTTGTAGTACCTACTAGCGTGTTGTCACTTGTAGTGAAGCTTCAAGTTACGTCTTGTATATTTCATAATTTCTAAACTGAGAGACCTGTGACAATGAGGAATGTTTACAGTCAGTCTGCATCGTAAGAGCTAGTATTAAGCGCTGGCCACACCGCGAGGCAAGCGAAGCTAAAATAGCTTAGCTCGCACATCTGCATGCAACCACCTATGCGACTTAGCAGCGCGCCTCGAGTGCACACATCACACGCCCCGTTTATAATAGAAATGAAGCGATCGCTCGATGTTTCAAATATTTCTGTATCAAATTGTAATTTTTAATTTATTAACGATTAAAAACAAAGGGTGAAAATTAAAAAATTTAAACCAGCATGAAGTTCCTTAAGATTTAATCGTAGAAACGCTCTACACTAAATATAATTACGTCATGTCCTAAACTACGCATCTATATAAATATATCCGTAAATAAACAAAAATACTTATGTATGTACATACTAGCCATTCTTATTTATAATCAGTATGATCGCGGAAATTCTGTGGCAACTTAATATGTAACACACCATTATAATCTGTAATTCATTGTAACAGTCTATATATTTCTTCAATGTTAACGATAAAGAGACATTGAAGTAGTTTCTCATTCACTAAAGTTCTAGAAGTTTATCACAGCCTTTTGTTGATATTCACAATTCTACTTTTTTAATTCACAACATATTTATTATACTTAGTTGATACAGTTAAATTTATTACATTTGTCTCAATCTCGTCTCATATAGGCACACGGTGCCTACATACAGTGAGATGTGTACATATTAATCAACAGAGGCAATTTTGTACATACAAAATACTTATACGCAATGGGATTGTTTTTTTGCAATGCATTAGATAAATGATTTAAATTGGTTAGTTTGGATCACGCACAATGACTGCCATGATACCAACGTATAACCATAAAAGCAGTAAAAGTACATGATATGAGTAACCAACCACTTTGTGCGCGAGTACATAACCGCATGAGTAACCGACAAACTTGTTTACAACTATAACCATTCACGAGATAATAGGGTGGCTACAATAATTATGCGCAACGGCGAAAGGGACTTTTGGAAAAAGAGACGCGACGTCGTTTCAACGCAACGCAAATATGTTTTATTCGTCATCGTCATCGGCCGTAGTGGCTTTGCACTCCTCGCAGTGCCGCTCAAACGACCTAGGACGTACAACAATTTCGTCAAAACACAATAAAATAAACACCTTTATACAATAATGTTAAATATTCAAATAAATTGCCAAAATAATACATCTCTATCTGCATTCACAGTACAGTCGAGGGTAAAAATATGTGAAAACCATAAAATTTTAAAATAATAATATGCCCCGATATCAATATTATCTAAATAATTACGTAGATTTATGTACACATTGTTCGGTGAATATATTTTATGCAATAATTCTATTTCTCATCGTCGCCATAGATTCAGGAACATCCATAAGTTCGTAAATATGTACGCATTGTCCGGTATATAAATCTACATTGGTACACATAACCGTTCAATTATTCCAATAATCTCAGTACAGAGTACTAAAAAAACCCACCTCAAAAGTACGTGGAATTCACCTATTTGCCAAGTTTTATTGAAATCGGTTACCGGAAAGTGCGCAAATACACGGAATATACGGAACTTGACACGGGAGATAATAAAAATCGGTTCTCACTATTCAAAGTATATTGAGAGAGAAAACGCCTTGAATTAGAGAATATAATCAACCATTAAAATAATTGCTCCTTATAACAAAGTTTAGGCGCTATTTATAAAAATGAATGTTCATGCGTGAACAGCTACCCTTAGAGGTGGATGATTTTCTTCAAAATGAAATGGGACCACTATGAAGGTACTCTCTTTCCAACAAAAAAAGAATCATCAAAATCGGTTCACAAATACCGGACAAATATCGTGTAACATACATACAAAAAAAGCACAGGCGAATTGAGAACCTCCTCCTTTTTTAAAGTCGGTTAATAAGAATGATCAAGATATTGGTGTGACAGTACAAAAATGATTACAGATTATTATGTTCTGGTCTGTATGCTCGGATCTTTGTTTTAAATTCGATAGGAACTCTTATCGCTCTATCTAAGCGTTTAAAATATCTGGAGTCACTGTGCTGTTTTTATAACATTAATAAACTGCATACATAGCCATCAGTTATTTCGCCATTATCAGATCTGTAGATGGTAAAGTTGTAGTACTAGTGGTTGTCATGTCTTGTAGTGAAGTTTCAAGTTACTTCTTGTAATATACAAGAAGTAACTTGAAGCTTCACACAATTCATAATTTCTTCTAAACTGAGAGACCTGTGAAACTGAGGAATCTTTACAGTATATCTGCATCGTAAGAGCTAGCATACGATAAATCCATATAGGTTTTAGGGTTTATTTATTTATTTATTGTATAGAGAAGTCAACATGGTGCATACAGAACAGAGTGCTTTTATACATTAACAGGTGCGGATCGCACGCCCCGTTTACTGTAAACTTGGAGCGATCGCTCTTTGTTTCAAATATGTCGTTATTTATACAAAGTGTAATCGTCAAGTGTGCCCAGGCGGTTGTTCCGTAAATGTAAGAGATGTCAAAAACCTTTGAACTGTTATCGAAAATACGTTACCTAATGAATAAAATCACAACAATAACTTGTTTAAATAAAACTACAAATAGGCTAAATTTTAACGTTAAACGCTCCCATACATATGTTTTCCTACTTTAAGAGGTCTAGTCGCACACCGTTTTTTTTTACCCCTAAAATGGGACATGTATCTGGTAGCAAAAGAATCAGAGAAAACGTTTCATTCCGAGTGCATGAGTACTCCTAACTCCCATGAGTCTCACTACAATAGTATTTTTTGAAAATAATATTATTATAGTGACCACATCGTTGCAGCTAAGTAATTCGATAGATTGTTTTTTGAAAGGCCTTGTAGGCATATTACAAACGATTTTAAATCGCCATTTTATCAGTGATTACTTTCTTTTTTTCTGGCTTTATTATATGCTACTTGGATTTGCAACTTGCTTTATAACCTAGCTGCACATAAAGACTAATTCCACAAAAAAAAAAGTCAAATAATAACCCCGCACAATTTCCGAAATAATAGTTTTTGAAGTTTTCGAGACACCAGGATTTTGAAACTATGATTTTTGTTCAATTATAGGAAAGCTTACCTAACTATTTGCTCTATTTCAAATATTTAAATATTACCCCATTTCTAAGTGTTCTGTTATCAACTCTTATGGATGAATGTCTGAATTTTTTTTATTTCAGTTAATTCTAACACTATTACTAATAGGTTTTATTCAACTTTTTTTCAATTTAACACTAGCTATTTTAAGCAATGCTTTGTCCATTGATAGACAACATGATGCGGGAAGGAGAGCATCATTATTAAGCAAATGCTAAAACCCTGCAAGTACATATTGACCAAATGATCAAAATACCTAATATGCAACTAAAAAAGTCACCGAACAATAGTATCTGTTAGACGAACGTGATAGCAGCAAAACAATCCAAATGTGCGAGCGAGACAATTACAGCTGCAGGTATGCAGGTGACCTGCAACCCTATAGCGTGCGATTTTTGGAATTGTTCTGATTCGCGTTCCGCTTGTCTTGCGTTTGGGTGCTATTTTGTGGTTTTCTCTATTTTCTAACGCCTTAGCTATTCAATAACGATTTCTGATTTGCATTGTGATCTGGAGTGTGATTTTACTCTGAACTGCGACTTTAAGCTACGAATCTCGGAACCAACGACTTGTACTCCATATTTATTTTATTTGCATGGTAAGAATAAATTTCTCTTATATTATTTACAACAAAAAGTTGATCCAGTCAGTGTACACATGAAAAACAATTAAGATATATTTGCTAATGAGGTTCAAAATTATTTTTTAAATTCATAAATAACATTTGTAACAAACCTACTTTATGTAATAGACGGCCTTGACTAAACAGATTGTTCACTTTTAGTTCTCTAAGAATCCGCTAGACAGCATCGACCCATTTGGCGTTATTTCTGAATCGCGGTGTTAAGATTTTCCCTCGAATGGTGGACTGCTCGAACACAAGTTTGAAATCTGAGAATACAGAGAGCTTTGTAAGGCAACCAGGAGTTGAGTCCCTTCTTGGGAACTGCTACCCGGATCTTCTGACATTTCGTATGCTCATATAGGGTGAAAAACCTCATCTCGCGGAACGGTTTCCCTTCTGGGAACAACTGCCCAGGCCTTCCGCATATAGGGTGACCTTGTATTGGTGACATACAAGATGAAAAATAAAAATCTTCTGAACAAACAAGAATTTGGAGTTTCACTTGGCTTGTTTTGGTATTTGGTAACCTCATCCAACGGAATAAAGAACCTCCCTCCTTTACACATTTTGTTTCTTTAATGGATAAGAAGTTCTTAAAAGACAATTTTCTTAATATTAGGATTCGTATATAGTGGTTCTTTAATTTCACTTGTAATTAATACATTTCGTGATTTTGTGGAAAATATTGTTTTGAAGATGTATCACAAGAAGTAACTATTAGCTTTTACCACATACAGTGTTCATAAGGACATTTCAAACAGGTAGAATTTTAAAACTGAAAACAATAAATAGTTGATTCACATGGATATTTAACGCTCGACCCATCATTGTTATCAAGATTAGGAGATGTTTGTTTACTTAGTTTCGTAAGTCAAAAACAACTTCAGTGGCTTTTTTACTTTTCTGTACTATGGAGCCGTCAAAGACAAATTGATGGACAGAAGTTATGGACGTTAGGTGAGATACAGAATTTCGGGGTGTTGGTAGATAAAAAACTTAAGTATGACTCACATATAAAAAAAACAGTAAAAAGAGATTTATAATGCTGGGTTTCATATCGTGCAATGCGAAGGCCTTCGGCAAAAGTTAAGCTTTATACAACATGTACTTGAATTCAATAGTTTCATTTGAAATCCACACTACGAAGTGTATGCCAAGCGTTTGGAAAGCTTCTATAATACTATTTGGTATACGGTGATTTTAAGGTTCACAGAGACTCAATCACTACATATTGGCTTCTTTAGTTGATCGTAAAAGACTTGACTTAATCTTTCTATATACAATTATAAATGGCTACTTGATTGCCCTTAGTTATGGGATATGCTGTCGTTCACTCAAGTTGCCCAGAAAGAGCTCTTATATACCTATTTTTCGCCGTACCATGTTCCAAAATTAACATCGGTCATTTCGCTGTTTTGTCAAAGCTCTGTAGGGTGTATAACTTGTTCCAAGTCACATGATTGTGGCCAGGGTTTCAACCGTGGGAACAAAAGAGTCCTGGCTTGTATATTTTAAAATATACTTCACTAATCTTATGCAAATCTTTTAGTCATTTTTCCTAAGTTTTATTTAATTTAATTTTTTTAATTTATTACGAGTATTGTGAACTAATGTACATTTAATAGCTGTATGTATGCATAAATTCAAATAATTTATCTTTGTTTCATTATAATTTTTATAAATTTTGTTTCAAATTATTGCTACCGCATGCTGTGATGCTGAGTGGTTTACTATTTAATGTAGTATTTTCTATGTGGAATATCCTAAATAAATATAAAGCCTTCATTTGACCATTTTTTGAAGTCTACACAAAATTTGTCGTTAAACTACATTGGATGAAGTTGGACCACAGGCAATAAACGGATGAACCTGTCCAACTATACTCAAATATCATAACTTCAAAATCCCGGTATGCCCCGAAAACCTCAATGTCCCGAAAATACCAAAAATTATTATTTCGGAAATTGTGAGTTAATACTCGATTTTTTTGAGGAATTAGTCTTTATGTGCACCTAGATTTTAAAGCAAGTTGCAAATCCAACTAACATATAATAAAGAGACTCATGGGAGTTTTACTCATGCATTCGGAACGAAACGTTATCGCTGATTCTCTTGTTACCAGGGACATGTCTGATTTTAGGGGTAAAAAACACTGAGTTGTTGAAACGTTATTATTGTATGACTGTAAGAGTTCATTCGTAGTTGTTACAGTACCCGGCGATAAATATTGCACATCGACATTTGGAAAGAGACAATCGGCTAATTTCGGCTTCGTAGAGCGTTATCTCTGTCGCACACTACCTATGTGACGTTTTGTCAGTCGTTGTTTAAGTGCGATAGAGTGC